CAGGGAGCTCGGGGGGCCATGGTGGAGCAGGGAACTCAGAAGGCCATGGCGAAGCAGGCAGACCGGGGAGCCATGGCGAAGCAGGGAGCTCGGGGAGCCTGGCCTCGACACTCGGCCTGGCCTCCACGGACGGACCCCTACTACCACCCCCCAAAAAAAAATCCTTGGGGAGGATATAGTCTTTAGAGGCCCTCCGTAGGCCTAACTCGGGGACTGTGGTCCTCCCTGGGCTTGACTTGGGGACTGGAGCCCTCCTTGGGCTGGACGTAGGAACTGGAGCCCTCCTTGGGCAGGATGTGGGGACTAGAGCCTTCTCTGGGCTAAACTCGGGGACTGGAGCCCTCTATGGGCTAAACTCGGGGACTGGAGCCCTCTCTGGGCTAGACTCGGGGACTGGAGCCTTCTCTGGGCTAGACTCGGGGACCGGAGCCCTCTCTGGGCTAGACTCGGGGACCGGAGCCCTCACTGGGCTAAACTCGGGGACCGGAGCCCTCACTGGGCTAAACTCGGGGACAGGAGCCCACTCTGGGCTAAACTCGGGGACTGGAGCCCACTCTGGGCTCAACTCGGGGACTGGAGCCCTCCGTGGGCTCAACTCGGGGACTGGAGCCCTCCGTGAGCTAAACTCGGGGACTGGAGCCCTCCGTGAGCTGAACTCGGGGACTGGAGCCCTCCGTGAGCTGAACTCGGGAACAGGAGCCCTCCGTGAGCTAAACTCGGGAACCGGAGCTCGCACGGGAGCGAGCTCTGGGGCTGGAGCCGACACTGGACCGAGCTCTGGGGCTGGAGCCGACACTGGAGCGAGATCTGGGGCTGGCACCAACCGCCTTTTCCTTCCCTTTAGGTTACGGGTGAATAGGGCAGCCAGCGGGCTTGACGTTGCAGCGGCCGGCGGGTTTGACTTCACAGCGGCAGGTGGGCTTGACCTTGGATGGATGGAACGAATGAGTGATGCCTCTGGATTGGCGGCGAGGAGACAGGATCCGCTGACGAACCAAGCCACGTTGATGTAATCGGTTGATCTAAACCACCATCCGTTGAGCGATCCCCTCATCCAGACCGCCACAGAAACAGTCTACAAGAGCCCACTGGTTGAGGGAAGTCTGCTTGGAGCAGGTGAGGAATTCTTTGATGTACTCTTCCAGGGAACTGCCGTCTTGACAAATAGAACATAACTGCTCCAGGGGATCCATTAGAAAAATCAAAAGAAAACCGAGAAAACAAAACGGGGAGAAGGGGCACCGCTTACTTTTTGTTTTTGGTCCGGTATTCTGTCATGTTGCTACTGTGAGGGAACGAGGAGACGAGGAGTACATCAACAATGAGATTTTAATGACATCGAGGGAACCAGGAAAACACACGTAGCAGGAGAGGTATACACATACAGACATTCAATACCGGACGACCAAACAATGAAAAACACAGGGCTTAAGTACTCTGAACTAAATGGGGAACACCTGAAAATAATGACATAATAAACATAGGAAACACCTGGGACAAATAAACCTAATCAGGGAACAGGAACAGGAAGACCAAATAAGGGCATAAACATAACATGGAGCATGTGGGGAACAAAACACAACACAAGACAGAAACAGAGTCTGGCAGTCATCCAGTAAGAGTATAGAGCTTTAAAATAAATGTGGATGATCAGATCAGATCATTTAATCTTGTGAGAATTTGATCAAAAACACCAACAAGAATCTATAATTAGATATTATAGAGATGTATTAATCTACAAAGAACCTTAAAGCAACTCACAAAAAACTGTTCGACCAACTTTATTTTTAAGAATGAACACAGAATTGTGAATATTGTGGCTTATATATTCTCTTTCTTTTTTATAGAGATATATTTCATATCTCTGGATATGAAACGTCTGTTCCATCAAGCAGTGATGCACGATGTAGTTGATGAGTGAATGTCAGTACAGAAGACGTTCCTGCGGCGGCGCTGGATGAGAATCAGGATTAAACTCATATAATACTGTGAGATATTCTACAGCAGCCGTCATGTGAGGTGTGACTTCAGTGATTCACACAAACGCTCATTAGATCAGCTCACACACACACACATACACACACACACACACACACACACAAGACCTGGATGTTAGAGAGGAGGTGAAGCAAAGCAAGATGAGGAGAGGCCGGAGAAAAGGAGGCAGTCGGGACAAAGTGTTCGGATGCGACCTGCTGGAGCACCTCAACTCCACCGGACAGGAGAGTGAGTTCATTCACACACACACACACACACACACACACACACACACTCACACACACACACACACACACACACACACTCACACACGAGTTGTGATGTGTTTTTCTGCTTTTATGATATCAAACTCTTTCTTTCTCTCACGTGAGCAGTTCCTCTAGTGTTACGCAGCTGTAGTGAGTTCATCGAGAAACATGGGATCGTCGACGGGATCTACAGACTGTCTGGAGTGTCGTCCAACACACAGAAACTACGGTGTGTGAAACAGGGTTATTAATTATGACTAAAACCATAATATTTTCATATTATTTAATATTTTTCTGTCCTTATTTTACTTCAAGGCAACATTTCTCATTTTCATTTTGTTTAACCTGAAGTACTAAAATAATAATAAAATAAAAAATAAAATAAAAAAATATATATATTAGTGCTGTCAATCGATTAAAAAAAATTAACTAATTAATCTTAAATTTTAATTTTAAATATATTTTATATTGCAATAATTTCACATTCGATCTTCAAATTAATGTACAAACAACATAAAGACTGTATATTTTTTTATATTTGTTTAATGGCATCTTTTTTTATTGACTGAAGGCCAGTATCAATGATACCAATACTGATTTCTCTATAAAATTGCCCCCTTATATTTAACCATTGACTATAGCCATTCAACATTACAGTATAATTAAGAGCTATCAAATTTAACATTTATTAGACTTTTAAAAAATAACTTCTAATTTAAGTGAACTTAAAACAATCTTCACATAAACCCATTATAATAAATGTCATATTTACCTGTGCCCTTCAGCAGAAATATACAGAAATTATATTGAATTGAAAAACTTAAAAAATTTTTTAAAAAAAAATACAAAAAAACGTATTTTGTTTCAGCTTCTTGCAAAGGCAACATTTCTCATTCTCATTTAATTTAACTTGAAGTACTAAAATTACTAAAAGTGAAACTGAAATAAAAGTTGATAAAAACTACATTAAAAAAACTAATAAAAATCACAAAAACACGCAACAAAATTACTAAAACTAACTAAAATTAAAACAGAAAATGTAAAAGTAAATCATTCAGAATATTAATAAAAATTATAATTGCATTATTAATATTATTATAGTATATTATTACAAATATTTCACTGGGGAAAGAGGAAAAATAATAATTTGCACACTGTACACACTTTGTATACAGTGTATAGTTTTGTATATTTTTCATAAACATCTATTCTATTTTCTTTTTTATTCACATATTTCTTGATGGTTTATTATATTCTATATTCTGTGGTTTATTATGTGTGTATACCCATAATTTATTGTTGGTTTGTTTACATCATGGCAAATAGAGGATATCAGTGATACTAAAATAACACTTGAGGAGGACTGACTTCATGCAGCTACTAAAAATCAGATTGTTTACAGACTTTGTTTACAGACTGTGTGTGTGTGTGTCTGTGTCTGTGTGTCTGTGGTAAGGCGTATTTCAGAGAGCTGCCCAACCCTCTGCTCACATACGAGCTGTACGACCGCTTCGCCGTGAGTCTGCGTCTCTCCCTCTGCTTGCCAGTGCATCATGTACAAATGTGTGCTTTAAAGTCTGCAAATGAATACGGTCGATGTTGATCAACATGCATTTTGTTTCTCAAATATAATGTCAATATTTAATGATATCAGACGAGATTCACACAAACTTATTTGTGACCCTGGACCACAAAACCAATCATAATTGAGATTTATACATCATCTGAAAGTGGAATAAATAAGCTTTCCATTGATGTACGGTTTGTTAGGATAGGTTTAAAACTATCTAAAAATCTGTATATATCCTAATGATTTTTGGCATAAAAGAAAAATGTATAATTTTGACCCATACAATGTATTGTTGGCTATTGCTACAAATATACCCCAGCGACTTAAGACTGCTTTTGTGCTGCAGGGTCAGATTTTATTTCAGCTAGTTGCAACTGCAACTTTAATTTAATTTCAGTTTTATTTTGAACAAAGCACAATATAAAACAAAATATACAAACACGACAAATGTGTTGCAACAACAAAGAAAAATCATGTCCATAAGACATTATACATTACAAAATGTCTGAAAAGGAGCTGAATGAAGCAAAAGCTTATTATTTTTCCCACCCCATATACAATTCTGTAACGTTCCAGTATATCTTTTAATATATTGCATCTATATCTTTATATATTCCTTACAAGATAACAAATCCACAATAAACTAAACACCAGCCAAATGTTTTTTTTAATTTTTATCCTACACTCTTAAAAATAAAGCTGCTTAAAAGGTTCTTCACAGCGATGCAATAGAAGAACCATTTTTGGTTCCACAAAGAACCATTCAGTCAAAGAACATCTCTTTCTTACCTTTTTATAATCTGAAGAACCTTCTTTCACCACAAAGAAGCTTTTGTGAAACAGAAAGGTTCTTCAGATGTTAAAGGCTCTTTATGGAAGCATTTAGACAAAAAAGGTTCTTCTATGGCATCGTGAAGCAGCTTTATTTTTAAGAGTGTAAACAACCTGTCACCCTATAATCACCCATTCTAATGCAATCAACATTATAATCCCCATTCACAATCAACTCTATACATCCACATATCCTTTTAATAAAGTGTTTTTATAACTGTTTAATATACTTGTACAATGCTTTAACACCTGCTCCAAACCATTCCACAACCGCACCCCACAAACAGAGATACACGTACTTTTTAAAGTTGTTCTTAAATTCATCTTTTTACATTTTTTAATTAATCTGGTTAAATTTTCATTTCGTTTAACTTGACGTATTAAAACATACTATTTCTAACCCTAACTAAAACTGAAATTGGATTCCATTTAAAAAGTTAATAATAAAAATATTAAAAAAAAATAATAATATAAAATATTTAAATAAAAAATTATATTTCAAAAAAAATTATAAAAGTGACAAAAACACACAATAAAACTACTAACAATTTAAAACTAAAATTTAAATAACAAATATAGAAATAAAATAAAAACTAACTCAAAATATTTATAAAAACTATAATAGTGAATCAATGATACTAAATTATGCTAAAATGCACTGGATAAAACTTGCATCTCTTGCACTATGTGACAGATATCAGCCACGATTTTTAATATGTATTTATTAAGTCTAATTTAGTCTAGTTTAATCCGATTATCAAATAATCTGATGGCTGTGTCCATTTGTCTGATTAACAGAAGTGTCCGTTCCAAAATGTACTGACAATTACATTTCAGTTTTAACATTTTTAGAAAATTTCCAGGAAAATTTGTGCAATTTCAGCAATTCGATGTATTTTGAATTTAGAAGCTTCTCTTTGGTCTCTGCACAGGACGCAGTGGCGATTCAGCTGGAAGACGAGCGACTGGTGAAGATTAAAGAGGTTCTGAAGGATTTACCAGCTCTGCATCACAGGTGAACATGTCATTTTCTGTAAAACTGCAAAGACAAAAACGCTTCAAAAAGCACAATGGTGTGTTTTGTCAATGACGTCAAACCTGGTGCAACAATCCACGTGCCAGTTTTCAGAATCAGAATTAGCTTCATTCACCAAGGAATTTGTTGTGGTTGGTGCTCTTTGGTCACTTTTGACTGAAAAATTTTCTGTTTTGAATTTTTAAAAATCACAGCTTCATCAGAATGGTACGAAACTTAGTAACTTTTATGGCATTTGGAATGTGAACACAACACACACACACACAAAATTAGGGCATGATTCGAGCAGGCTAAGTGGTCGTAAAAAAAATTGTCAAACTTGTGGTCTTTGGTCAAAAATGACCGACCATAGGAAATGAATGGGAAATAGACAAAAACACAAAATTAAGAGAATTTTTCTGTGTACAATCTACAAATCTGCCACAATGCAGAAAAAAAGTACACAGCAATGACGAGGTGAAACTCTTGTACACACACACACACACACACACACTCACAGACACACACACACA